TTTTTGGAGAATTGTTACCAAAATGACAAACTTATATACAAGAAAAATAAAAACTTAAAAAATCTGTTCAAACCTAGTTATGCCAATAAAAAAAATTACAAGACAACAGAAATAAAGGTCTCTAGGGGATGCAATAAATGTAAGGCATGTTCTTCTGTAAATTTGGGTAAAACCACCGCCTTTGTTAGTTAAGTTACGGTACAATCTTTTCCAACTGAGTCGCAGATTGACTGCCGCATGCACTATGTGGTTTATTTACTGCAGTGTCTGTGCGTCAGACAATATATATGTCGCACAAAAAGACTCCTAAAAGTCAGATTATGTGAACATATTAACAATATAAAAAAGGGTATGATGACACTCGGTCCCATTACATTTCAATAGTTGTCCACTTTCACATATGGGGTCTCAGTTGTGTCGGTATTAAGAGTCTTTCATAAATCACAATTAATGAGAGAAGGATCCTATCTGCAAGAGAAAGGACCTGACCCCACTGAGATTACCTCTAATTGAAATTATTCTAAGTTAATAGCAAGAAATTCTTTGTATGTAACTTTATTAGAAGTATTTGAGAACCAGAGGAGAAAATGCGTAAAAAGTATATAGAAGAGAAATTGTGTATAGTAAAATGTGAAATAGACCAATCTTTAGTTGGAAAGGTGCAAGTCTGAGTTAAAAAGTTTCCTTCTGGAAACCAGAACAGTTTTCAGATCAAGTACAGCTGGACCAGTGCCTTATGCAAGGTAGTTCATGGAGGACACTTTCAACCCTTAATGCTGGACACTATCATTTTATTGTGTTTTAACTACTTTTATATATTTGAATCAATGTATCTTTAATCTCCATTTCTTTGTCAGTGTGTGTGTGTGTATATATTAGTTATACATTTTTAATTTTTTTTGTGGGTGTGTATGTGTACTTGTTTATTTAAACATATATATTTTACTTTGTCTTGCCCTGCATGCTAAAGCTAATTGTTCCCAGCCCCACTCAAGATTGTTGGCTTGTTAACTTAAATGTTATTCACCTATCTGCTTACCTCTAATAACGTTCTCTGTTATTTCTGCACCCCCCCACCCCCTTTATTTTATTGATACCCACCCGAATGTCTTGCTTGACCAATCCTCACCTTCTCTGTACATCTCCATTCCATAGCTTTATTGCAGGCCTTTTTGACCCTATCATCTGTCTTCCACAGTCTGAGTTAAAAAGTTCCCTGCTGGAAACCAGAACAGTTCTCAGTTGCCTGCCCACCCACCCCAAGTTTTTTATTCCAAAACTAAAACAACTACAAACCACATAAACCTCATCCAAATATCCTGCAGTTTATCCTCCTCTACCAACTTTCAGTGTACATTCTGGAACACCCGTTCCATCTGTAACAATAATAAATCAACAGCCATACTCGACCTCTTCATCTCTAATTCCCTCATACTACTAGCACTCACTGAGACATGGCTTTCCTCATCTGATATCGCTACTCCGGCTTCCTTATTTTTCAGTGGACTACAATTCTCCCACACTCACAGACTCAACTGTAAAAGCTGCGATGTAGGCATCCTTCTCTCCCCTCAATGTACCTTTCAACCTATCTTTCCTACCCCTGCCCTATCCTTTATTCCTTTGAAGTTCACATTGTCTGTCTATTTAAACCCACTCCTTTAAGATTTTCCATAATCTATCACCCACCCACTCCTCCCTCGGTCATCCTAGGCTATTCATTGAACACTTTTCTTCCTGGTTACCTCACTTTCTGTCTTTTAGCACTCCTTCCCTCATACTTGGGGACTTTAACATGCCAATCAACAACCTCAACTGCCCTGATGCCTCCCCGTCTGCTCTCTGTAACCTCCTGTTTCAGCAACTCATACAGCAGGAAACACTCTTGACCTCATCTTCACCAATCTCTGTACCACCTCTAATCTCTCCAATGTTCCATGAGGCTCTTTAGTTTTATTCCAATGGCATTTGAATATATAAGCTCACCTGCCACGTCAAGGCAAGCCTCAATAGGTGAGTTCCTACACTAGCCATTAGATATGCTGATATCAGCCAAGAATCTCCAGTAAGACAGGAAGGGGTATTTTATAGACCCTTTCACATTTAACCCTTTATAGGGCTTCTACACATACAATAAACTTTGCTGGTATCAGACAAAGTGTAAACATCTCTAATGAATGTTTATAAAATACCCCTTCCTGTCTCATTAGAGATGTTTATACTTTGTCTGATAAAAAAGGTAAAGTGGTACTTATGGCTCCTCACCTGCTGCTTCGAAGCAGCTGCCTACTACAAACCGCTTGCCCTAATCTGAACCAACAACTAATATATCAAGATGTCTACAAATTCTTCAGTTCTGGAAAGTGCAAATTAAAATCAAAGAGTACATCGGCACAAAAGGCTCGATGTGCGTTTCGGCGTTACAACATGCCTTTATCAAGAGCAAACTTACATTCATAAAGCCCAGTTTTAAAGGGAAGTTACTCCCTCCTCCTTCAATGGCTTAGCCAACCATTGCTATGTTACGTAATCGGGGGCGTAATACAATTCCCCAAACACATATCCATATCCTTCTGGAAATACGGTCTCCAGTACTGCGTACAACACTCCAAGTGAGGTCTCGCCAGTGTTCTGTACAATGGCATTAACACTTCCCTCTTCCTATTGCTAATACCATTCTCTATACAACTAAGCATTCTGCTAGCATTTCCTGCTGTTCTATTACGTTGCCTGCCGACCTTTAAGTCATCAGAAATAATCACCCCTAAATCCCTCAGATGTTGAGGTTAGGACTCTATCAAATATTCTGTACTCTGCCTTTGGGTTTTTATATCCAAGATGCATTATCTTGTACTTATCTGCATTAAGTGTCAGTTGCCACAACTCTGACCATTTTTCTAGTTCACTTAAATCATTTGCCATTTGGCTTATCCCTCCTGGAACATCAACCCTGTTACATATCTTAGTATCAGCAGCAAAAAGATATACCTTACCATCAAGACCTTCTGTAATATGACTAATAACATTTTTAAAGAGAATGGGTCCAAGTACAGATTGCCGAGGTACCCCACTGGTGACAAGCCCATGCTTTGAATATATTCCATTGACTACAACCCTCTGTTGCCTGTCACTCAGCCACTGCCTTACCCATTCAATAATACTGGAATCCAAACTTAAAGATTGCAGTTTATTGATAAGCCTTCTATGTGCAACAGTGTCAAAAGCCTTACTGAAATCTAGGTAAGCAATGTCCACCATGATCTATTATTTTATATATGTATATTGTTATTTATACATTTATGATTTCACTATTTTATTCTGTTCAGTAGTTACAATTTATTAGATATGTATTCAAGTTATAAGGATATGAGATTAACACTATCTTTGTTTAGGCTAATGGGGGTTTTGTCTCTACTTGGGAATACCAGGGGGAGATCGTGACTTTGCTTTCCTCCATTTGGCTGAGATTGAGAAGGGAACACACAGAAGTGTGTCACAAAACATGGCAGTACCATTCTAAACAATGTCGGAGAACACAACTGGTGGCGATCGGAGACTGTTGCTGTAAGAGAGCCATCAACCTATCGAAAGGAGAAGACGTCCACCACACCACTAATGGACTTCTTAGGGGTTATCCCTATTTAAAGATAACTGTGGGTAATGAGATTTGGGCTGTGAGGGTTATTTTATAATTGTGATTGTTTTTAACTATATTGAGCCTGATGAAGTTCTCAGACGAGAACAAAATACGTAGGACCTGTTCTTTTAGCACAATTGTGCACTTTAGCTCTTTTAAATTTATATGCCAATAAATATCCATTTGGAAGATACCTCTGGATTGAGTTGTTGAAAAATCTGTCAGTCCATTCTGTGGCAAGCACAAAGGAGGAGTTTCAGCCCCAAATTGATATCGAGGGTGGCACCCCTAGGTCGTTTTAATTATCTCAAATTTGTGAGTGCAATTGCAAAATCTGTTTCTTTGTTACAGACAATATTGCACTGTTATATCCTTGTTTTTATGTACATCAGCGGGATCCTTACATTTTCTGTGTTGTATATATCTTTGTTGGTCGGTTACCACCTAGGAGATCACCTTGGGAGGCTGTGTACCTATAAGTTACGATTGATTTATATTTATATAAATATAAATATATAAATATATGATTTATATTTTTTTACAATTAACTGGGGTCACAGGTGGAATTGTTATATTTGTACATGTTTGTAGAACAATCTAAATTTTTTAAGAAGCAATTTTATCAAAAGGGGTGTAAAAAGGAAAATGTGGAAAAACAATTTCATAAAAAGAAGCTAATCAGTGGTTGATGCCTCGTTACGTTGACAGAATGCTCGACGGCTCCTCCTTTTCTCCTCGCATGAAGATGGCCGGCGGGACTTTGTACACATACCCTGATAACTGGAGGGCATGCAAACCCCTCATAGCTGCCCAGTATACAGGGCTTCCCATCAAGGTTGCTTCCTCGCCTCCAGAATTTCAATTTGGCGTAACAAATAAGACACCAGAATTCCTTAAGAAATTCCCACTTGGCAAGGTCCCAGCATTTGAGGACGTTGACAGCTTCTGTCTGTTTGAAAGCAGTGCTATCGCTCACTATGTGGGTAACGATGAACTCTGTGGAACATCCCATGTACACCAGGCTCATATTATTCAGTGGGTCAGCTTCTCTTAAAGCCACATTGTCCCACCAGCTAGTGCCTGGGTGTTCCCAACACTGGGCATTATGCAATACAACAAGCAGGCAACATAACAGGCCAAGGAGGAGGTGAAGCATGTGTTGGCTGCACTAGATTCCCATCTGCAGACACGAACCTTCCTGGTTGGCGAGAGAATTACTTTGGCTGACATTAATGTAGTGTGCTCACTCCTGTGGCTTTACAAACAGGTTTTGGATCCATCCTTCCGCCAACCATTTGGCAATGTCACATGATGGTTTGTAACTTGTGTAAATCAGCCACAGTTCCGTGCCGTTCTTGGAGAGATGAAGCTCTGTGACAAAATGGCTCAGTATGATGCTAAGAAGTTTGCAGAGCTTCAGCCGAAGAAAGAGACCCCCAAGAAGGAGAAACCACCAAAGGAGCCAAAGAAAGAAAAGGAAGAAAAGAAGCAGCCTCCTGCTCCAGCTCCTGAGGAGGAGATGGATGAGGCAGACCAGGCTTTGGCAGCAGAGCCCAAATCAAAGGACCCATATGCCCACCTCCCTAAGAGCCTTTTTGTTAGGGATGAATTCAAGAGGAAATAGTCTAATGAAGACACCCTGACTGTCGCTCTTCCTTATTTCTGGGAACATTTTGACAAAGAAGGATGGTCAATCTGGTACTCTGAGTATCGCTTCCCTGATGAACTGACTCATTCATGAGCTGCAATCTCATTACAGGTATGTTCTAGTGACTGGAAAGCTACGTAAAACTGCCTTTGCCAGTGTCATTTTCTTTGGCACAAACAATGACAGTACTATCTCCGGAGTGTGGGTATTCCGTGGTCATGACCTTGCATTCACACTGAGCGAGGACTGGCAAATTGACTATGAATCCTACAACTGGAAGAAACTGGATTCCGATAGTGAGGAGTGCAAGACTCTTGTGAAAGAATATTTCTTATGGGCGGGAGAATTCAAAAATGTCAGAAAGCCTTTCAACCAGGGCAAAATCTTCAAGTGAGGTCCTCAAGGAGGGCAAGCAGAACTGTCATCTAGAGAAATGTGGAGATGCACTGAAATAGGTTCTCTTCATGCCCAACGTTTTAATTTAACAAAGGCGATATACGGAAAATAAACTCAGTCAAAAAAAAAAAAAAGAAGCTAATCAAAAATGAGAAGAGCTATTAAAATATACAGAAAGGCAAAATTTTTTAATAACTGATCATATTAGTTTTATTTCAGATTTTAATTCACATAGTTATGATCTCAAAAAAAATGTAAATAAACACTGGCACATCCTCAAACAAAATAAAGAAATAGATGTCCATACTGGATAAAAAATTTTTTTAAATGGTATACAGAGGAGCTAGCAATCTGAAACAAGTTTTAACGAAAAGCTGCATTTTAAAAGACAATTTAGGGTACACGGATCTTACAGGTAAATACATTAAAGGTTTCTTTCATTGTGGACACTGTAAGGCTTGCTAGGTAACACCAGTCAACACCAAGAAGATAGATACATTCTCCTCCAAAACTAACAATAAGGAGTATAGGATCAATTTCTTTATTATGTGTAACATATGTCACGTTATGTCTATTAAAGGTGGGATACAATATGTGGGAAGGACCACAAGACCACTACAGATAAGAATGAATGATTACATAAGAAAATGTAAAAATTAAGTTTTAACTCATTCAGTTTCAGCTCATTTTAATAAAATCCATAATGGTGATTGTAGCTCACTATAGGCTCTGGAGAGGGGGTGACTGTGGCAGAACTACTACTCATTCGTATGTTGGGTTTTTTCCCCTTGTTTGCAAATCATGTTTGGGCTTGATTAGAAGAGTGTGCCTGTCCCATTCTGAATGTAATAGAAATTAGGCTTAGTTATTAATCTGTGGGTAAGTGTTAGTGTCTCTTTAATATGATACTGGAGCACTGGGGGTTTTCTTGAGGGCTGATGACTATTCATATCAAAGGACGCGTTATCTAGGAGGAAATAGGACATTTGGCAAGTGAGAGAGTTAGTTTATACTGAAGCCAGACTTCCAGGCCACTTGTGAGACTTCTTACACCTTGTGGAGTGGCTCAGTTTGGGTCCCAGCTTCAAAGAGGAGTTTGGATTGTAGCCACTTTTGAAAATGTAATTTTGGAGGAAAAGCCCAGTATTAGTATGGGAGACCCCATGTAGGGGTCTGTGCTTAAAAGCCGTGTGTGTTTCAATAAAACTCAGTTCTGTTGACTCCCAGGACTGGACAGGATGTTTCATCAGGTTACTGGGGGAATGGATGTCTGCTTGTTTTAATGGTTCCAGAGTGGCTGAAGGAAGGAATTAGCGGAGGTAACCAGCCGGATTACATGTGTTCCGCTACAGTGACCATTTGAATTTATTGAATAAAACAGAAATTAAGTGAATTTTTGAATTGGAGACCCTCTCTCCAGAAGGCTTAAACATTGATTTTAAAATATACACTTATATTAGCTGAACAGTAATGAGTAACATATTGGATGTGGATTTTATTATTATGTTGATTTTTATATTACTGTTTTAGGTATTTATTTTAAAAAATAAATAAATGTGTGTGTGTGTGTGTGTGTGTGTGTGTGTGTGTGTATATATATATATATATATATATATTACAAGATCCAGCGCACTCACCTATCCACTAAACAGCAACTTCAATGTTGACAGATTTTATTAGTTTTTTTTTTTAAATCACCTAATCTAGGCAAAAAATTATGGGGGTTTATTTACATTATATGAGCATTCATTGCATAAGCCTGCCACAACGTCAATGTACCCCATCTTTGACAGGTCCTACTTCTCTTGAGATTAACCCACTTACTTGGGGGAAAGTTCCATCTGGGGCTCTCAGCAGTACAAGGCTAAATAGGGCCCTGGGATGAGGCACCTGTGACAGAGAGGAATGCAAAACTAAGGAGTCCCAATATGGCCGTTATAGCTGAGGTGATAAACTCATGCAGCCAAAAAAAGGTCCAAGATGGCCACCGCGGCATTTCCGGCAGAAGCTATGAATGCCTTGATGGCCATGACTATGTGAGCACAACAGCTGCAAGATGGCTGAGGTAGCTCTTCAGAAGGAAGTCAAAAATTAAATAGTACACCTTCGGGTGTGCCAATATGGCCACCAAGGAAGCAGAATCAGCACATGGCGGAACCAGAAGTGATGTTAGCAAGAACAGAGATATAATATATACCCTGATCAGCCACAAGATTAAAACCACTGACAGGTGATGTGAATAACATTGTTTGCATTGTTACAATGGCACCTGTCGAGGAGTGAGATATTTTATGCAGCAAGTGAACAGCCAATTCTAGAATTTTATGTTTTGGAAGCAGGAAAAATGGGCAAGCAGAAAGGTCTTAGTGGCTTTGACAAAGGCCAAATAGTGATGGCTAGATGATTGGGTCAAAGCTATTCTAAAACTGCAAACCTTGTGGGGCATTCCCGGTATGCAGTGATTAGGACCAACCAAAAATGGTGCAAGGAAGGACAACTGGTGAACCAGTCAGGGCCATGGGTGCCTAAGACTCATTGATACACGTAGGGATCAAAGGTTCTCCCAGTGATTCCCAAACTAGTACTCAAGTCACCCCTACCAGACCAGGATTTAGAGATTACCCAGATGTGTCTAAGGTGTTTTTTAGAAAAGAAAAAAAGCACCTTAGACACAACCGAGTAATCCCTAAATCCTGGACTGGTAGGGGCTAGCTCATCTGGTCCCACCATACAGAACTACTGAGCTCCAATTGCTGAAAATGATGAAAAGGTGTCAGAACACACAGTGCATCACAGTTTAATGTGTGTGGGACTGTGTAGTTGCAGAATGGTCAGAGAGTCTATGATGACCCCTTAACCACCACTGAAAGTGACTTCAACAGGGAGATGAGCATCAGAACTAGGCCATGGAGCAACAGGAGAAAGTTGCCTTATCTGATGAATCATATTTTCTTTTAAAACAGGTGGATGGTTTGGTGTGTATATGTTGTTTACCTGTGGAAGAGATGACAGGAAGATGCACTATGTGAAGAAGGCAGGCCCGAGAAGGCAGTGTTTTACTCTGGGCAATGTTCTGCTGGGAAACTTGGATGTTACTTTGACATGTACCATTTATCTCGATATTGTTGCAGACCATGCATACTCTTTCATGGCAATGGTGTTCCCTAATGGTAGTGGCCTCTTTCAGCAAGATAATGCCCCCTGCCACACTGCAAACATTTTAATCAATGGTTTGAGGAACATGGCAAAGAGATTAAGTTGTTGTCTTGGCCTCCAAATTCCCCAGATCTCAATCAGGTTGAGCATCTGTGGGATGTGCCGGAACAACAAATTCAATGAATGCATAGAGGCACCACCTCGAAACATGCAGGACTTAAAGGATCTACTGCTAATGTCTTCTGTCTAATGACCTCTGAATGTGTATTGTGGAGTCCATGCCTCAACGCATCAAAGCTGTTTTGGCAGCATGAGTGGGATCTACATGATATTAGGCAAGTGGTTTTAATGTTGTGGCTGATCAATATAAATATAGATTTATTTATTTTACTGCATCTCCTGTTTTTTCCCCATATTCCTCATTTTTCACTGGATCTTTGAATAAAATTAACATTTAGTGTCTAGCCCCTAGCCGTCAGTCATCTTTTTTCCCATCAATCATCTCTTTTTGCTGGCAATACGGGAGTAATTCAGAATATTGACTCCCACCATAAAATGTTCTGCATTGTGCGAATCGGATACTCAGTAACTCTGATCACCGATCGGCGCAAATTTAGCCAAATTTCAGTTCAGTCTGAAACAAATCTCTAAGTCTACTGATTATATTGCATACCCAAAGTACCCAAGTAGTGTTAGAATAAATTTTTTAGTGAGAAAGGCGTCCAGTTTATGACATCTATTAAGTGCTCCTTAAGTGATTTTAAAAACCTGGATTTACACTTAGCACATCTCTCTTACAGTCTTGTTAGCATTTTAGCAAATAACATGTGTGTCTCTATGTTTATATATATATATATATATATATATATATATATATATATGTGTGTGTGTGTGTGTGTGTGTGTGTGTGTGTGTGTGTGTGTGTGTGTGTGTATGTATATGTGTACATAATTTGTAGTGTAAGGAAACTATCACATAAAACTCTTAAGTCCTCCTTCATTAATAGCAAAGACATGTCTGCAGACTGGGATAATGACAAAGGTATTCCATATTAGTATGCTCAGACACATAGAATGAAGCAATGCATAAAAACACTTGAAGAATTCCACAAATACCTATGTTTAAAGTGGCAGGCATGCCAGTTCTGTGTAACCTCTTAACTGCTGTCAAAAAATCAAATAGCTAGCATTGTAACAAATAAAAGAAAATGTGTATATAACTATGTAAACATGTTAAATCCCGATACATTTTATATCAATAGAATTACTATTGTAGTTTGTATTTTATATTAACATTTAATCTTTTTTATGTACATCAGAGTGAATATTCCACTAAATTATTTGTAGGCAGCCAGTTGTAGATTTGGTTGTTTTTAAAAATGCATAGTTACCTTAAAAAATATATTATAGATAGGTTAGAGTAGACGGTATTGATTCACATAACTAACATAACTGCAATTCCAACTGATATCTGGACTGAATATGGACCAGCTGATAAAAATCCTATTGGCTCACCTGCAGATAAAGCAGCCAATGGGAAAT